GCCTCATCATTTAAAAGACTGTAATTCCTTCTTTTCTCCTATTTTTTTCTTGTGCTGTAAAACCTTTTTCCTTCTTTCCTGTTCCTGGCACCTCTTTTTGTCATTGTTATTCAGCAGGTTATTCCTCCTTCCAAATATATTTCTTCAACTCAGCTCCATGTTTATAGTTGGGAGTTCCACACAAGAGAAATAAAGTACTTGCACTGGCATAACAGATTTATTTCACATCAGATATGGACTTAAGTTGCATTCATGAACATAACCTCTCTTCTGTTTATTTTTGGCAGAGTATTGCTTCATTTTATATAAACACCATATTTTCTGTATCTGTTCATTTGTTGATGCGCATATGGGTTTTTTACAACAGAAAATTTATAGCAGTTAAATCATGGAAGCATTCTCTGTAAATCTGAACTGTTCAATCAGTGCCTTCCAGATGCCTAGAGATTTACTTTTGCAACAGTGATTTGGCCACCCACAGTTGGAATCTTCCAATGTGTTCATACCAAACCTTGAAGCTGAACTGCTATTGCTCAGCACTCTTTTCTATAGCACTGAAGATCTGAATGGAGTCCATACCTGTAAAATCTGACCCCACATAGCCTGATTTCCCTGGCTATTAGGGTGGAGGTTCCTTGTGTGAGGTTGCATAGGAACTGTTCACGTGTGTCCCAGTGTTGTGAGCTGAGAAGTCTAGGAGTTCAGTACCTTAGTCCAACCAGAGACCACAAGTCAGCAGAGGGATCTATATATGGTCAGTAATGGGGGGACCCCAGGAGCTGGCCGACCAATGTATGGACTTTCCTGAGCACAGCGAGTGCCTGCAGCCAAGAACCAGCAGACTCACAGACTTCCTGCTCAACACTTCAGCTTTTGAAAGTTCTTTTTAACTGAAATACATCTAAATTGGCCCAGGAAGATAGTCTGCAGGGTGTGAAGATCGTGGGCTCACAAAGAGGAAACCCTTCACCTCAGGCAGTGGGGATTGAGGGAAGGGAGACTCCAACATGAGGATTCTGGAGAAATTACAGAAACACACATGGGGTAGCTTATTTATGTTCCCATTGGTGCGACTCCATATTTTTCATCTGAAGTTTCTTGGAAGAGAATCTGATTTTTGGTTATAACTTATAGAGTTTGCAGTGCATATTCATCCATTCAGCTCTGAGGCAGAGCAGCGCAGAGAAGGTGTATTGGGAGGAAACCTGATCCCACAAATCCTCCAGGAAGTGCTGGGTGAAAGGAGAGCTTGAAGAAAATTATAATCTTTTTGTCATACCCAGTAAACTTAGTGTTCCTAAAAGCCCCATGTACTAACAGTCTGTCAGCTCTCACACCCTGTAATGTGGATACCATCCAATCAAACTACCTATGATCATCTACACTGGTGACACTGACAAAGGATCTACAAACTGCAGTACAGGGTTTCAGGATAAAAGCTGAGGGCATTTTTGTGACCTTGTCAGATACAAAAGTTACATTTCTTGTTATGTAGGTCTTGTTTTATCTTGGTCTTAACCATCCAGCAGAAAAGTATAAAAATGATGTATAAAAAGTAAAGCCATATTAATATGCTGAGCTCTAAGAGGCTCAAGTCAACACCTTTTGACAATGCCAGTCCTACAGATAACCCACTACTATTATGGACTACTGGACTATATTGGAATATTTTGCTGAATTCACACACCTGCAATATTTAAATGACAATTGAATACCCCTCTCTGACATAGCAAAACAAAAAAAGGGAATACAAATGAATGACCATTTTGTATCTATTTATTCAAAATAGTTAGGATTAGATATACAGCTACTTTGTCTTAATTCAATGAATAGAAAGATTTGTACTAATAGTGTTTGTGGACAGAATATGATGTCTATGTCTTGTAATATGAATAACAACAAAGAAGCCAACAATACGCAATGTAATAATCATTGAACCTGTCCTATAGATCGTTTTTGAAACTGTCTCATTCCTATTTGTTTCTCAATAAAATTATTTTAAAAAACCAAACTACCTATGATCACTGCGAATTATGGAGAAAACCCAGAATAATGCTATAATAAGTGTCCTGAATTACAGGAGGGATGGGCACCGGCCCTGCTGTTGGAACAGAATTCCTCATGATGGGCTGACTTGATGTGTGCCTGCTCACTTCGTTTTAGAGTCCTGGGACTCACAGGGAGACAAAGGAGTAGATCTGAATTGGTATCTCCAGGTTGACACAGAGAACTGTATGTGGTCAGAAAACACAAAAGTGACCAAGCCTGTGCCAAGAGTGAAGAGAAAAAGCCCAAGGGAGGATTTAGGTAACTTTTGACTGAATATGAACAGACAGATGGTTTTCTGGCATTGTGCCCCTGCTTGTTGTTATGCCAAGTAGCTTACCAAGGCTATCAGGCTGAGCCTGCTTTCTTAGTTCTGCCTCATTGGTCTCAATGAGGTGAAGGCTGTCGAACAAGGGAGCTGAAAGCAGGACCACAAACTTAGGATCCCAGCATCTCTCAATGATCTAGCTAAGACAGAGGGGATGCACTCACATGAATAGGAAGCATGCGGTCCTCAACTGGTCACTTTTTTCAACTGAAGAAAGATCCAGCAAATGTGGGTGACTTCTGTTGCCCCTCATTTTCTTTGAGCGCATAACTCCAATATTGCTGTGTTTTATGCAAGGTATTACCAAGTCTTTACAGAGAGAATCCTAGACATAACTGTTCTTCAAGATGAAGATGTAACACTTTAGCATTGCTTGGTCCCATGGACACCATGGAATTTTGAGAATGTCACCTGTTGCCCCAAAAGAGCTCATGCCAGAGATGGTGTCCATACAGCACATTTAATCAATATCCAGAAGGGAGAAAATTCTGTTCTGAGACTTTGTTCAAGTTAGTGGAAGCCTGGAAAATAGGCTTGCTGAGGGATATTTGAGTGGCCTGGTAGAGGAGAAATACAATTCAACCAAAACCATGGGGCCATCCAAACTGCTGCCCACCCCTACTGTAAAGATTGAGTTTATATATGTATGCTTGCATTCCACAGGCAGTGCTCCTCATTATCTACTACAGCCACTGCAGGAGCCAGCAGTGAAGGAATTGTTCTGGGACAGTGTCCTCATCTCATTCAGCAGAGGAAATATAGTGCCTGGATTGGAGGTGAGTTGCAGGTTTTTCAGTGAACTGAGGGTTAAACCTACCCAGGAAATTACATTTCACAATCCCCAGGCTTCCTATGCCACGCTGTATTTCCTAGAGACTTGTCCTATGAGTTCTACTTCAGCCTGCAAACAGCTTCCTTTTTGTATCCCAGGATCATGGGGAGGGATCTTGTGAAACCTAGAGCATCCCACTGACAGAAGACCTGAAGTGAGCTTTTGTGGGAGGCAACAAGTGTGTGATTCTTAGCTGAGGACACTGAAATCCCCCCCCCTTTCTCCCCCAGGCATCTGACTTCTCCATAACCAGGTCATGTTTTCTCCACAGAATAACATGACGACACGTCGTCAAGAAAACCAAGAAAGAATCCTGCAGGGAGCCCATCCCGACCAGAGCAGTGCACGAGGCATCAGTCTTGTGCAAGGTCTCATGAATGAGGAGAAAGCAGCAGCCACTGTTGCCTCTGCATCTTCTTCCTCCCGTGGTTCAATGGGGGACACAGCAAGAGAAGAGCCTGGGCCTGTGAAACCAGATTGTCCTCAGAATCCGCATGGTGTCTCCTCACCTCCCACTGCCATGGCTTCTAGCGAAAGCAGTCAGTGCCACGCGGGCTCCAGCATTCATGAAGTGGAGGGTGCAAGTGCGTCCCAGGACAGTGATGCCCCTCAGATTAGGATGCATGCGATTGAAAGTGATAAAATGCATATGATTGTGCAATTTCTGCTCAGGAAGTATCAAAAGAATGAGCAGTTCTCCAGGGAAGAAGTGGTGCACATGATTGACAACAGTGCCCATGATAACTTCCCTGTGATCTTTAGGGAAATCTGTCAGTGCATGCATATGGATTTTGGCATTGTCATAAAGGAAGTGGATTCCACTGCCCACACATATGAGCTTGTCTCTGCTTTGGGCCTCACTTACAGTGGGATACTGGATGACACTGACCAGATTGTTTGTAAAGCTGACCTCTTGATACTTATCCTCTGTGTGATCTTCCTAAAGGGCAACCGAGTTAGTGAAGAGTACCTTAAGGACATGCTGAGACATATTAAGGTATTATCTGAGAGTGCTCCCATTGCTGTTGAGGACATGTGGAAATTCATCAGAGAGGATTTGGTTCAGGTAGAGTACCTGGTGTACCAGCAGGTTCCTCACAGTGATCCTGCTCGTTATGAGTTCCTGTGGGGTCCGAGGGCTCTTGCTGAAACCACTAAGATGAAAGTACTAGAGCATGCCATCATGCTGGATGAGAAATATCACAGGGCTTGTGCATACCAATATCGGCAGCCCTGGAGTAAGGAAAAAGACAAGTTTAGGGCCTCTGCTGGGCCAGATGAGTGACAGCTACAGAGAGTGTTCCACAGCAAGTCTCACTCTTAGTTCCAGACTACATGACATGGGGCCCAATTTCAGTCTGTGTTTATACAGAGCAGGCAAGTAGTAAAGGGGTGGGGGGGAAGCAACAAAATTCCTTGCAAACATCTTTATGTTTCTACTATTTCTGTTACATAGAGATCAAAATCTGTTTCATTCATGGGCTTTTGAAATCTTGTTCTTTTTTGGAAAGACTAATAAAACATGAAAATGTGATTTCCAAAGTGATTCTGATGTTACATGTGTTATACTTTCTTAATATTTGGTTAATTGTGAGTGGTGATGTCAGTGATTTTGTTTGACATTGGTCTGAAGTGGATTTTGATTTGGTATTGCAAGTGTAGGAATTTACCTGTTTTGTTGACTCAACAGGAAAATTTTAATTTTCTTCATGGTAAACTGATTTTTTTATAGAATTTGCTTGTGTTTTGTACAAGAAACTGGCTTGAATTTAGATGGATCCCACAAATGGATATACTGATAAAATCACTTGTTTGATTTTTATTTCTTTTTCTTTCTCATGTTATTCTATTAAATTTATATGAGCAGATGAATTTGTGATGATTCTTCAATTATATTGAGAAAATGACCTGTAGTAATGAACCCATCACCTCATGGACACAGAGAACTCCAAACCTTTTTCTTAATAGTGGATGAATTTACTGTAGGAAAAGACTGGTCAACATAAATTGGGGACTAGGGTTAGAAACAGCTTCCAGAGACAAGAGGAGCTCCAAATGTGTTGCACAGGAGCCCACCTCTCAGAGGAGTTTTCAAGGAGCAGATTTCGGAGGTGGGAATGACGTAGATAAATCTTATTATAAACCAATCAGATTGAAAGGATAGTCACTTAGGTAATATTGATCAAAGGGTAGAAAAGGCACTTGAGTGGCATCATGAAACTTGATCAATGACCTTCATCCTACTCTTCATTAGTGTAAGTAGTCTTAGTTGTAGTATCAATTTTAGTCTCAGTAGTTTTAGTTTTAGCAGGTTAGAAAGGATGGTACACCCCTAAGGAGGCAATGGGAAATCTCAAAATGCTGGTGGAAGTAATCCCAAGCCTCTGTTCATCTCTTTGGGAAGCAAGGAAAACTAGCCACTTTGACCTTATTCTTCACATGCATCACCAGGTATATTCCTGATGCATTCTCACGTCTTCCAGTCCCCTGCTATATCTAGCTCCCCACTCTGTTTATCACTAACTTAGCTGTTTGTACTGTTTCCACTTCTGTGGAGGTATGGTCACCTGGAGTTAGGATGGAAGTGGTGCACTTTCTATCTACCTGGTTCCAGCTGAGAGATACCAGTTTAAGGGAAATAACAGGCAGCGGCCTTCTACAGACATCTAATCTAAAGAGCCTCAGATAGACTTCCTGTTGTGGTATAGCAGTTGCAATCTGTTTGTAAGGTCGATCCAATGGATCCAGGAACAGAGGTCTAGAACATGACCCAGTGGTTCCATCTGCAGGATTGCTGCAATTCTAACATCCTCTAGGTCACAATAAACAAATTTTCCAAGATATTTTAACAAATATCATCAAACCACAAGCACTAGAATGGAAGGGTGGGTTTTCCAAAGAGCCAAATGCAGAAACTGTTCTGGAGCAACTGGAATAGTGATGTTACCAAGTTTGCTCGTAGAGCCCTCTCCTGATAAAGGTCCCTCTATCATAGCCATGAGAAGATTGAGAGAAGGAAGTCGCAGACTCCTGTGGTGCTTTTATTGCTTGCACTGTAGCCTTTTCTGGCTTAATGAAGCATAGTGTCAGCTATTTGTATATCTGAAAACTTTCCAGAGGACATCAGTGATTGGAGCCCTTTTTGTATCCAGCTATTTGTACTATGGCAATATGTTTCACCATCATTTGGTTATAATTTCCTGCTGGATGTTTTAGACCAATTTCTATGGAGATGCATGTTCATCAGTATTAACCTCTTGCTATCTATCAAGATGAATTAAGTCCCCCCAGACATTACCTTGCAACCATGTACAAAGCGCCTCCTCTCATCTGTAAGTGGCAGCCATCTTCATAGGGCACAGTTTTGTGCAATCATATTGCTTTGTGTGAAAGCATGGGACACTGTTTCCTCTTGGTGAACTTCTTAAGATACACCGTCCTCTGGGTTCATGCAATCTCCATGCTTAAGTGATTCTGTGACTCAACAAATTGTGGGATCTTATAGAAATATCCCCTCATATCCTGTGCCCTCATTGAGTGTAGTAGACCTCTGCCAATATACTGGTTCTCCTCTTACTCCACTTGCCATTTAGTTCCAGAACATAAATTTAGGTTCCAGGGAGACAGCTCAGTAGAATAAGTACTTGCCTGTCCTAAGTTCAATCCCCAGTAGCATAAAAAAAGAACCAGAACCTTATTTTTAGTTACTGAACACCCAGTAGAGGAAATGAGTCACATAATTATTTCAAATTTAAGAGCCAGCTTAACTTGTAATCTCACTTCAATAGCAAATATTTCAAAATAAAAACTATAGTCAGAGGTCTGCTATGGATACATGAAGATAAACTGATTTCAGGTGGCTGAACTCCAAATGATACATGGAACCTCCAAATGACATAGGGAAAAATGACCTCCCAACCTGACCTGGATGAGTTTGTGTTCTCTAAAACCCAAGAATCAATTTTAGGAACAAATGGAGTTTATGAGCAGAATATATTTATTGAGGTAAAGAAATCTTCTGTCTGAGAAAGGGACAAAAGGGGGTGCCCACTGGGTTTTCCCTGGAAAGCTATCTGTTCCTGGGACTTTTATAGTGCAAATCCATGTGGGGCTAAGGTGGAGAAAGGGGGAACTCTCTTAGGTGGATGTGGGGTGAGAAAAAACTATGGTCAACCAATGGGATTACAAGTACCATTGCTCAGGTAAGATTGACTAACCCAGGACCAAATGGGGAAGGGAGTCACGTAGCAAGGGGGCAAGAATGTAAAAGAGGATGTTCTCTGTCACCCATTAGAAACTGATTCTTTCTGGCTTTCTCAGGGTAATGAACAATCCTGGATGCAAATCTTTAGGGAGGTTATCATTTGTTTTTTCTTTGGTTTTTAGGTCTGGCTCTCAGCAGGAGTATCCATCTCTCCCACAGTTGCAAGGTATCTTGTCTTCTGTGTAATCTCCTTTGAGGACTGGGCTCTGTCTGACTGCCTATAATATTTCTGTCTAATTTGGCTGCCTGCAACACTATAACTTACTAGTCATGCTTATTGCAGTCATTTAATCCCTCAGTATGTTATCAAATAATAGTTTTATAGCTTAATACAGAAAACTGGAAATCAAAAGCTACACATAAAATTTGTGACACCACTGAGTTACAGGATTCTGTAGTACAGGTTCTCTTATGTCCTGAGTCCTCACTGACCTTGAAGGGCTAGGGCCAGAATGTTGGCTATCCTTGTAGCCCTTCTGTTTCTCTAATTTTTTTGTCTGCCAACTTAATTTGTTAACCCTCTAGAAAAGAGGCTTAATGATATTATGACACTATAACATAAGTAGTTGAGCTTCACATCACTATCTCTGCATATCAAACGCCTTAGACATAACATGGAACAGGTGTTTTCTATCAACTATTGATATGCTAAACTTTAAATACATACAGAATGTGGAAAAAAATTTAAAAATTAAAAAATAACAGAAATAAACAATTACACATTATTACACAGAAATTTAGAAATATAAGCATACACAACATTGCAGCAGGACACTCCTATGACATTTTTTGTCTCTTGTTTTCATTTATTAGCTTTTTTTAAAAAACAAACATTTGCTTGAAAGAGTATATCAGTAATTGATATGACACTAGAAGTAGTACGCATTTAGGAAACAAGCATGACAGGCTTTCCAAGCATGGCCCTAGAATTGCACATTGCTAGCCTCAGTGCAGTAGCTTAGTTCACAGGTATCAGCATATACAGGTAGTTACGGTGAGAATCTTGCCTTGTACTGGCGCTGCAGAGGAAATTGATCAACAATATAGAGCGTGCTAAGGAGAGTCACCTAGAGAGAAAACTTTCTCTCAGGCTCTCACAGAAAGCAAGTCAGTCAAGTAATAGCTGAGACTCATCCAGATGGCTGACACTGACAATAAATCTGCAAACTCCTGGACAAGGTTTCAGGGTAAATCCTGAGGGGATCTGATTGACATTGTCAGATATAAATGTTGCAATTTTTGTTATATAGCTCTTGCTTTATCTTGGTCTCAACCATGCACCAGAAAATTATAAACATGAAGGAGAAAAAGTAAAGCCATATTGATAGGCTAAGATGTAAAAGGCTCAAATCAACAACTCCTGACATTGTCAGTCCTACGGATAACCCACTACTATTATGGACTAATGGACTATATTGGATTATTTTGCTGAATTCATGCACCTACAATATTTCAATGGCAATGGAATACCCATTTCTGACAGAACTAAACAAAAAT